ATTATGCTAGGGGATCCACTCCTAGCCAGCCTAATTTAATCCATTTAGTGTCAGGCCCAGGCATTTGTATCTTCGAAAAGCACTCTGAGTAATTCTAATGTGTGTTAAGGTTAAGAAGCACTCATTAGGGAAACACGTAGAATGAATTTTTTCAGATCTCATCTCTTTCTTGGACAATGCCTCATATTCGACAGAACAACCTTAAATTGGGAGTACAGAGAAATGTAAATTTCATTTCTTTGACCAGCAGATTCAAAATATGTATGTTAAAGAACATTCTAAAAAAATAGAAACCCTTCCAGGAATGGAAACTATCCATTTTCATCCTTTTAGTCCCAACACACAGTGCCTTATGTGGCATTCAATAGATATGCAGTACATATTATTTGCGCAGAATTGAAAGAATCAAAAGAGTAGACATTGCACATGATGCATCTTCTCATGAGCTGTGCCAGAACATGACCTTTGTTTTTCTGAAATACTTGAGGCAAAAAACAAACAAACAAAAAAAACAAAACAAACAACCAAACACAAAACACACTGATTTCTGATAAGCAGAAAGGTAAAAGATGAATTTACTTAACTTGCTTTCCCTTGCGATTGAAGACAAGTTTGCATGTGGAGCAAATAAATGAATTATTTTTAGGTTGTGTGATAAAATAAATAATACGTCATTAGATAATTGATATTTCTTAAGTCTTACTACTCAAAACAGATGGTTGCCATTTATCACAGTCTCATTTTTGGTCTAATTCTACTCCAGATAGTCTGTTCAGTTGTGTATTATTTTCAAGTCAGAAGTTTAGATAGCTTTATTTCCAGTGTCTATGTACCCAGAACTTGAAGGGGGTCAGTAAAACCATCCTTTTGAAATTATTTAATTCTCTGGGATTCTTTCCTTGAGGTATTTTTGACCCTTTGGTGCCTTAATAAGACATCTTGGAACCTTTTCTCATTTCTCATCTTTCTTAAATGCCTGCCTAAACAGCGTAACATCGCAGTGGGCTCCTGAAATTTATTTGAAGGTTTTATTAGTGGTCTTTAGTATTCTTTCTTTGAAATGTCAGCTCAAGTCAGTTTGCATTGACAATAAAAAGATTGGCGTTTCGCCCCATTTAGATACCCGTTGTTCATCAAGAAAGAAGAATGAAAATAACAAAAACAATTACAAAATTTATTGCTTGCTTTCTAGAGAACAGAATTTTGAAAATAACTTCTCTGTAGCCAGGCTTGTAACCATCTTTGGCTATGGGATACTTATATCACAGAGCCATCTAGTTGGTTAAGTTTAAAAAAAACATTAGGCTAGTTCATCATTAAGTTGTCTCTAAGTTCACATCTTAATTAAACATTCAAAATAATTAATAGAAGTTTTGATTGTGTTTTCAGAAAGGTCAGAACATTTTATTAAGCAATGAAAAGTTTATGAAGTATTCTGCGAATAAGTGATTTTAGTCATTTGGATTCAGTCAGTTTAGTTCCAAAATTTTAAGTCATGTGTTTATAACTTGTAACAATTTCACACAGAAACTGGAAGTTAGATTTGTTGGCAGGATACAAAATTTGGAGTGTTCTGAAATGTTGTACCAAGAAAACCTAACATGCTGTGGAAACTGACAGTGTGTATTTTTTCCATAGGAAAACCCATTTGTTTTTCTGGAAAGCTTGAAAATGTATCCATTTTCTGGGCTCCAGCTCTTTTTGAATAACTGACCATTTCTGTGCATGAAATCCTTATCGGTCATGGCTAATAACAATTACGATGAAACATTGATGTTTCCATTGTCCTTTTTTTAAAAAAAAAAATTACTAAAAGCAGTCATCATTATTATCATGCCCATTTGAGGTTGAATGTTAATGAATAAATGAGATAGCACGTGTTAAATTTATAGCTGGTCCAAAGCCTGGCATATAGTAGATGTTCCTTAAATATCATCGTAATTATTGTTCAGTAAGCCTACAGTGAATTGTTCCTAACATGATAAATGATAAAGTCACTGCATCTAGAGTGCATTGATGGACTTTGAAATGCATATCATTTGGGATGAAATTGCCTTGTTTTCTGCCCTTTTCAGAGCATCTTCAAAGTAGTTCTTAATGACTTAACAAAAGTTTTAACACATTTGTTAACTTGTCACTTGGTTTTTATCACACTTCAGTTTCCTTTTTTGCTCATTGCTTTAAAAAGTATGTGGTTTACAAATATTTTAAATTCTATATTTTTCAATTCATTGAATTGTTTTAAATGGTTATTTCCTAACGCCATTCAACATGCCTGCAATCACATATTCAGCTGGATTAGCAGTTATGTCAAAGTCAGAGCAAGTAAAAAAAAAAATGGTGCACTTAATTGGAATTTCACAGCAATTTCCACATAAACCAGCTTAAACAAGGTATATCTATGTATAGAAATCAGGAATTGACTAATCTGTGTAAATATATGTATGTTAGAGAGGTGATTTAAAATGGTGAAGAAATTCTATGCGAAAGAACTTTAAGCCTAGTCATGTCACATGTAGTTCTTTAGCTGCTAGAGTTGTTACTGTAGATAGCATGTCATTTTAATTATAGCTTTACTATATTAAGATAGGATAATAGATAACAATATAACAAGCTGTTCAATTACAGCTCTTTTTCTGGCTAAATTTAACACTACAATGTAGATCTTAGAACCTCATTTATCACAAATGAATTTAATTGATCAGTTGTCTCAAATAAACCATCCATTTTTTACCCTTTATTTTTTCTAGTTTTAGGGCCATAGAGTTAGACTGAGAAACATGTTCGCTAGAGTAGTAAAATTTGTAACTTGTACATCTTCTGTATCATTATTTTGATAGTAGCATACTTATTTTTTACACTTTATATTGAGCAAAAATATTTTTTTGTGCATGTTCCCAACTATCAAGATAAATGTTTAATTGTATGTATGTATGCAACATTGCTGAGTCTTTTTCTTTGATCTCAACTTAAAAATGCCTAATAGCATAATAGCCATAACTTAGTTATCTATGGAGTGTTTATTTTGGGGATGAAATAAATTAGCTAACAGAAATGCTTGAGGATAAACATAATGATGCAACCTCTGTATATAGAAATATATTTTCATTTTTCAGAGTACTTCATATATCCATAAAAATAGTGGTAAATGTAACTCTGCCTCAATAATACTATTCAAATATAACTTAGGATGTTAAGTTCAAATGAAATGACTTATCATTTTTGTGAGGGTTTTAATTCTTATTATCAACATTAGAACAACTTATAGCAATGCAATTTTAAAAAGTTTTATTGACATTTTGAATACCAAAGTGGGACTTTTTTTCATACTTTGCTTAGTCGTCATATTTTCAGAACAGAAAATATTGGAAAATCCAGATTTAAAAAATAAAAATACTAATATTGACCATTTTTCATTATATTAGAGGAAAAAACCTGCATTTATGATTAGGTAGCATTTTGAGGGCATTAAGGACCCTGAGACTATAAAATTCTTATTGGGAAATACACATATTGATACATTTTTCAAAGGCATTGGTGAATATAAACACATGCTCATCAATTGGTTAAAATATGAGCCTGAAATTACTGTGTTCTTAAAAAAAGGTATGTATGTGTATCAAAATAATTTTCACTGTATGTAATTAAGAAAAGAGTTGCCATTGACTTTGAAGGGAGAGTAATAAAGTCATGCTCTAGATTTCAAGGTCATCTGTTACCAAAGATACTGTATTTCAGAATAAGTCAGGGGAGCAGAGAAGGGGTTAACTTCCAGATTCTCATTCTTTACCTAAGAAGATCAGAAGTTTTCTGTTTCTTAGATTTGCAGATCATTTATTCATTGAAAATTTATTGACATTTAGAATGTGCCAGGTACTTTCCTGGGTATGCCTTGGCAAAAGGAAGTTGCCCACCTACAGGAAATTTCACCCATATTTATATTGTATTAACCTCATTATACTCAAGGATATGGTGTATTTATGGTATTTAACCAAAAGCTGGCATATAGTAAATGCTCAATAAAAAAGAGCTATTAATATTCTATGACATCCTTTATAGCTATTTTTCATCTACTGAGGAACAGAGTTTAAACATTTTTTTATTTACCAGAGTAATGATAACTAGCCTGTGTGTGTGTATTGAAAATGTTAGGAATGGCATAGTTTAACAAAATGAGCAGAACGGAATTATAGGGCAACTCCTTATACTCCTTAAACGTAAGTGCTTTCAGATTAACTAGATTTCTCTTGTGATAAAATGTTATTACTCTTCAAATACTTTTAAACATGTAAATGTGATCAGAAAAAAAAACAATTTTTAAAGGGAATTGTTCAGTATATTAACTCTTATAAATTTTGGAATCCAATTAATTATGTATTTCAAGGAACCTTCTGAAATTAAATAGTAGAGTAATCTATAATCTCTTTAAAAAATTAAACATCAGCATTTAACATTGAAATTGTTTCTTGGTGTTAGATATAGAACTGTGCTTTTCAATTTGATACCGTACCCTAGCCACATGAGTCTATTTAAGTCTAAAATGATTTAAATGAAGAATTCAGTTACCCAGTCAAACTAGCTACATTTTAAGTGCTCAGTAGCTATCTGCGGCAAGTAGATACCATATTGGATAGTGCAGATATAAGATGTTTCCATCATCACAGACTGTTCTCTCGGATAGTATTGCTCTAGGATATTTTGAATAAAGGAATATTTGATATTTACTACTTATAGTTATGACTACCCAGAAAATGAACTATTACATTTAGTTACGATAATTTGAGTCTCTCCACCACATTTTTAAAATCTTGATGAAACTATTTGGCAAGTTCTTTGACAGATAAAGGCTACTTTTAAATGATTTTTATTTCAGCAAAAATGATAACTAGGTGAAGGCTCAGAAAATGAAGTGCTTTAACTCAATGACTTTTGCGAAACTGGAACTTTGAATATTGTCTAAAAGAAACGGCTAATCAATAAGATCATTGCTTTCTCTGCAGCACCTTCCAAACCTTTTTTCCTGAGTGCCCCGCCATTCTACTCGGCATGCTGTGGTGGGTCCTGTCGGCGCCCTGCATCCCCCACTGCTTTTCCAAGTAAGTTTTTATGCTTCATCAGCAATGCCTCAGTTATTCTGTAAACCAAAGCAGCAGGATTTAATGTGCTCTGGAAAACTAATTGGTAATGCAATGGCAAGGAGCTAATTCCTCACTAAAAATCACAGCGATCCTATTCAGGAAGTTTCCAGAGATTTATCAAACCTCAGCACACTGAGCAATTGTGAACGATTTCTAATGGCATTGAAACCCAGGGCTGACACACCAAGGAAAGTGACTTGTTTTTCATTTGCTATAAAAGATCTTAGAAGGACCAGTTTGGCTCTTTCTGAAATGTGTAGCAATACCCATTTAAAGAAGAAAAAAAGGAAGGCTAAGAAATTATGCTGTGTAAAATTTCCAGTCAACTTAAAATGTGACACAGAAAGTCATTAGTTGTCCATAGAAAAAAATTTTAAATTGTCGATTGTAAAAAGAGATAAATATCTCTTCTTTGTAATCTTGAAGAAAACCAACAAACATCACAGGAAATATTTGCAAGAGAACTTTTCTCCAAACATTACAAAACTTTAACAGTGTCCAGAGGTAGAGTAAGAATGACAACTTTCAAAAACTTGCAGAGCACGTGTGCACACATACACACTTGCACATGTAAAGAAAAAATGTCTCACTAAAAGCAAAGAAAATTCACCTTGGTCTTGAGATTTCTAGGTCAGATAAGAATCTGTAGGCAGAGAATTTTAGTTTATGATAAAGCAGTTCAGTAGAGGAGTGCATTTATTTCAGCCGCCCAAGAGAAAGTGTTCATTCAGGTTAACAACTCTGTCAGAGGAAATGTGAAGTAGGAGTTGAGTCAGGCTAAAATCAGGGCTCTACCCTGGTTGAATTCAGATTGCTGCTGCCTCTCTGCATGTGTTTTATGAATGTTTCAGGAGGGCAGTTGCTCAACAGAATGATTCCTGGCAAGTGAGGCAGCAAATGCTGGCTGTTTAATGAGCTGCAAGCTTCTGAGTACCTCTTTAGGGGGCTGGTACTTTCCCACAGAGCACTTTACATGGCTGGGACCCAGCCACAATGGGCGACAGACCCGTGACCAATCGCCACTTTCACTTGACTCATCCACACGCGACCTCACCACGATTTTTCACTGTGCAGATGAACTTTAGGAACCATTTCACATGGAAAAGGCTTGGGCAAGGGTCAGTTGCCCTTTTGTATGGTCATAAAGCAAGGCTCTATGTGCCAGTCTTTTCTCCTGTCTCACATTCCGAGTGAATTTCTGGACACCATTTAAAGCACTTGACTGAAAAATAAAGCAGTGAATGAAACTGACTTTTATGGACTCATTCTAGCTCATCTTCCCATATAACCCTGTCTACCTGAAAAGGGATTTAGTGGATGAGCTGAGTGTATACAGGACTTGCTGAATACATAGGACCCATTATCAATTGTGGGGATTGTTTATTAACCACAACTGATACACTACTATTTTGAAAGTGACCTATTAATTGTCCATTTAACTAGAATGTATTGATTCAAATAGAAAAATAGAAACCATGACTAAGCCTTTTACTCGCTCCTTCAAGGTGGTCTCCCATAAGGGCAATTGAAAACTGTTGTGCAAATTAAGGAGACATTTATCACCTTATATTTGAGTATCAGGAAAAGAGACTGCTGGAATAGAGACTAAAAACCCAAATATCTGCTACTGTCGCATAGTGGCATCTCTATGGAATTAAATCTTTAGTGTCGTATTCCAGAGGTGGAGAGTAAAAAAGGTCCCGCACCTAGTTACAGTTATTTCGCCTTGATGTAATATTAATGTTCTACTTTAGAAAACCTCTGGCAGTGGAGCTTAGGTAAGTGTAAATGGACAAAAAAATTCCATGTAGCAGGTGGACATTTTCATGTATTCGTGAACGTGTGTGTATTCATTTTCTGGTAGTGGTTTAATAAGAGTCTCTAAGCCATGAAAGTACTCTAATGCCCAGGTCAGTTTAATATGTACAGCACAGATAACAGTAATTCTAAAGACATTTCCTAGGTAACTTAGTTTTCGCAATAGTTTAAAATTTTAAGGAGTCTCATTTTCCTCCCTCTGCTTCTCAGTCCTTCCCACTATATGCTTTTGGTATAACCGTTGAAAATTGTGGTATCAATTCCTGGAGGCTTATAAAATCTCAAGCTTATCTTTCTTATTTAATAAGGCGTACAATGGGAAAATCAGCACAGCTAAGATCAAGGACAGAGAATGCTGCATTTGTTTTGTTTTCATTTCTAAAGTTGACATTTTAAAACAGTTTAGAGATGCTACAAGTGTTTTAAATAAACTTTGGTGTCTCATTAGTTATAAATCTGAAATGAATTTCTTATTTTTTGTTGATAATATTCATCATGTTGGCAGCAAGTAATAATGAAGTGGTGGATTTATGCTATCGGTAAAGTATTTTATATAAGTAACGGTGATACCAAGGAATAGTTAATAAGGCTTATGTCTGCACAGTAATCATTTTTATTTGAGGCATTTACTAGATTTTCTTTTTTTCTTTTCTTCCATTTTTAATAATAAGAATGATTTTTATGACCAAGCATTTTAATTGTTTTCCATTGTAAATAAGAAGGAAAATGAACTGTTCAAGTAATCTCTTATTAAGTTTGAGCTTGGATAGCCAAAATTAAGGTTTATCCTAAAAATTTTAATAAGTGATGAAATCAGTGTTTCACAATATGGACTCGTTATTGTTTCACAATATCAACTTCACTGTTTCCGAAAGTGTAGGATCGGATCAACATGTCTGTAACTAGGAAGTGAAATACCATTTTGACTCTTTTAACATGATTCACTTGTTTAAAATTGATTTTGTTTTTCTTGTTAACTTTTAGATTTATGATTGACTTGTTGCAATGTGGAAACAATCATTCATCCCGTGCCCTTCTCACATATAATAAATAGTTTAATAGGCTATTTAAGCACAACCCTTACAGTGGGGAAAAATTAAAAGGCAGTGGTAAAAGTTTTCCTCTCCCTCAAAGCGGTGTAAGGAAAATCTTTGATATTACGTCCATAAGGTTTTTTTTTCTTCTTCAAAATAACATACTTCTCAGCTAAAAGGAAATGGAAAGTTGAGGAAATTATGCAGAGAATGACCTTAAAAAAAAAACTACCTGAAAAAGGACAGGAGTCTTAATTATGTAGAATAGCTAATTGAATGCATCAGATAATTATTTTGTTTGGTCTTTGAGTACCCAGCTTGAATTTGACCTTTTGAGAATTTTAGGTATTAAAAGACAAAGTTTAAATTCAGAGCAGCAATGAGTAGGGAAATGCTCTGGGACAAACTGTTCTGCCTTTTTCTTGGGAGATGACCTTATATTCTATCATTTTACTCTCTTCTTTGTTAAAACTTAAAGAGTCATAATACACTCTCCCAATTTGAATTTAAAATTTTGTCGAAGGCAGCAGGGAAGGGACATTATTGTTATTATTGTGCGTTTAAGTTGGTCCTGTGAGTATTACTGTCAGAGGGACGATGCTTTGATTAGTATTCTTGCCACCTGACCTGGCTGTGCTCTCAGCTGGAGTGGTGAGTGGGCTGAGGAAACTGACCAAGACCTATGTAAGTCCATAAAAGGTTGCATAAAAGTTTCTTTTATAAGGATGTCTCTTTAGCATTCTGTTATCCTCGGAGGGTGCAGCATTATGTTCAGACAGAGAAAGAAGCCCAATTATTTTGTTGAAAACATAATCAAGTTTGTGCAATAAGTTGAATATAGATTTTGACTTTTCAATAGTGAAGGGATAATGACACTCGGTCAACCAGGAAGAATATGTTTAAAGGAGTCAGAGACTCAAAGACAATAGATTTTCCAAGTTGATGGCTCTATTCAGCAGTTCTGCAGAGGCAGTGAAAGTATATGAGTAACGTTCCTGGAATGGAGTTCTCTTTTTCCCGTCATGTTCGTAAGTAGTAGGGGTGTGGGATGAGGAGGGGAACTGCTTAGGGATATAGGGTGCTTGTTTCTCATCTTGTTTATAGCCCTTGCCTGAACACAACATGAAATCTAAAGGACAGCTGATAAAGTCCTGGTTTTAGATTCCTCAAAATAATTGAATGAGTACAGAATAGGGGAGGGAGAGAATTTGAGTGAATAGAACAAAGTAGGAAAGGGTTATACTGTTAGCTCAGTACGTGTTTACAGAATGATGTGGGAGTGTTGGATTGTGATTTTAGAAATAGAATATTCAGAATAAGGGAGATAATAGTCCTTTTGGACTCTGGAATGGTCAGACTGCCTACACCTGTCAGTTCTGGAGGCCCTCTTTAAAAGGCACCTTGAACAAATTTGCATATAAAAACCAGGTCAGGAGGTCATCGGCAACTGAAATGGTGCAGGGTCTATATGACTCGTCAGGAATTTTGGAAAGTAATTGATTTTGTTCTCCTTGAAGATAAATAATAGGGAGAACATAAGAGTTGTCTTCAAATTAGACATACTATATTCAGTATAGATACAAAGGATAGAATTGGGGTCAATGAGTATAGAGTTTAGTGGAAATTGCGTTTGGGCTTAATATAAGGGAAAATATTTTAGCAAATCAAATTGTATGATAATAAAATATTATTATATAGCATTCATAGATACTCGATTGTCTAGAGATTGGAAGATGGACTTCTAGTTCAAATAGGGCGGGCCAGGCAAATGCTATAACTTCTCTCTCCAAACCTCAATTCCACAGGAATTACATAAAATACACACACATGCGTGTGCACGCACACACACACACACATATACTTGAAAATAAGACAGAAAAAAATTTCTGTCTTGCTCTTCACAAGACAGAAATTGAGAAATCCCTGAAAGATAAGAGTTTTACAGGTATAAAATCCTGTAAGTTACAGCTATTTGAGTGTTGCTTCAGAAAAAGATGAGTCCTCAGACAAGAACCATCCCATGTTTGAGTAAAGCTGATTCCAGGAAGAAGAGACACAGATTCATGGTTTGAAATAACTTACTTTTAAGGAAACAGTTAATGGAGG